AGTTTGCAGTCAAGAAAAAATAACTAAAATGCCTCATAAAAGTATGGTGAGAAGTATTGAATTACTAAAATTAATTCATACTGATTTATGTGAATTTGAAGGAATTTTAACACGTGGTGGAAATAGATATTTTATCACTTTTATTAATGATTTTTCAAAATACACTTATGTATACTTGTTGAAAAATAAAAGTGATGCTTTTGAAAAATTTAAAGAATTCCTTCTTGAAGTTGAAAATCAATTCGATAAAAAAATTAAATGATATAGAAGTGATAGAAGCCGGGAGTATGAATCGTTTAGATTCAACTCATTTGCTTAGTTTTTGGAAATAATCCATGAAACTATTCCAACATATTCACATGCATCTAATGGTGTAACAGAAAGGAAAAATATAATTTGGAAATAATCCATGAAACTACTCCACCATATTCACATGCATCTAATGGTGTAACAGAAAGGAAAAATATAATTTGGAAATAATCCATGAAACTACTCCACCATATTCACATGCATCTAATGGTGTAACAGAAAGGAAAAATATAATTTGGAAATAATCCATGAAACTACTCCACCAGTGAAAGCTTCCACTTGTGTTTTTCTTGGATATGCAACAAATAGGCCTATAGATTTTTTGATATTGAAAACAAAATAATTTTTGAATCAGGTGATGCAATTTTTTATGAAGAAAAATTTCCTTTTAAATCTAAAAATGGTGGGGGTCAAAATTATCAAGAAAATATTTTATCTGAAACCGGTTCCTCTACTCCTCTTTTACAAAACCAAGATACTGTAGTTTTTGAACCTAGAATGAGTAAAAGAGCCAGATTAGAAAAAGATTTTGGCCCTGATTATCATGTTTTTAATGTGGAGGAAACTCCATTAACTTTACAAGAAACTTTGGCATCTCCTGACTCTGTTTTTTTGGAACGAGGCTGTAAACGATGAGATGGAATCATTATTATCCAATAAAACTTGGGTATTAGTAGATTTACCATCAGAATGTAAAACTATTAGCTGTAAATGGGTTTTGAGGAAAACACTTAAACCGGATGGAACTATTTATAAATATAAAGTAAGGCTTGTTGCAAAAGGTTTTAAACAACAAGTAGATCTTGACTTTTTTTTATATATTTTCTCCGGTTACTAGAGTTACGTCCATTAGATTATTAATTGCAGTGGCTGCAATTCATGATCTAAAATTCATCAAATGGATGTTAAAACAACATTTTTAAATGAAGACCTAGATAAAGAAATCGATATGGATCAACCTAAGAGTTTTGTGGAACCCGGTCAAGAAAGCAAAGTGTGCAAGCTAGTTAAATCTATATATGGCTTAAAACAGGCCCCTAAACAGTGGCATGAGAATTTTGATTCCTGCATGATGGAGAATGGCTATAAAACTAATGAATGTGATAAATGCATCTACTATAAATCTGAAGAAAATTCACATGTCATTATTAGCCTCTATGTGGATGAGAAACTTATATTTGGCTCTAATTTGCATATCATCGTGGAAACTAAAAATATGCTTAGTAACTATTTTGATATGAAAGATCTTGGTGAGGCTAATTATATTTTGGGAATGAAAATTACCAAAACCTGTGATGGTATATTTTTTGATCAGTCACATTATGCTGAAATTTTTTTGAGAAAATATAATTTTTATAAGTGCAAGTATGTTCTTACTCATTTTGATCCTCATGTATGTTTATTTCCTATTGAAAATGATGAGGATTATGCTAGTATGATTGGTAGCATGCGTTATGCGACCGACTGTACAAGACCTGACATTGCTTATACAGTTGGAGTACTTAGTAGGTTTACTAGCAAGCTTGGCAGTGATCAATGGTTAGCCATTGAGCAGATTATGAAATATTTATCTGGTGCCATAAAATATGGCTTGTTTTGTAATAAGTATCTAGCAGTACTTGAAGGTTACAGTAATATTGATTGGAATACCTTGTCAGGTGATTCATTATCAATCACTGGTTACTTATTTACATTGGGAGGTGGTGTTATAAGTTGGAAATCGACAAAAACAAACCATTATTACTAATTCAACAATGGAGGCTGAGCTTATTGCTTTAGCTAAAGCTAGTGAAGAAGCAAATTGGTTGAGAGATTTGTTAAATGAAATCTCTTGTTGGGAAAAACCAATTCCACCTATATTGATTCATTGTGATAGCACGGCAGCAATTGGTCAAGTTAATAACCGTTATTATAATGGTAAATCCAGACCTATCAAAAGAAAACACAGTAATGTACTATCTTATATGAATAATTGCATCATAAATGTGGCTTATATTAAATCTGGTGATAATCTTGCAGATCCATTAACTAAGGTCTTAGCAAGATATAAAGTCTGGAATACATCGAAAGGAATGGGGTTGAAACCCATTGGATATAGTAGGAGCCATGTATGAGGATACTCAACCCAAGGACCAAAGATCCTGTAACTGGGTTCAATGAGAAGAACGATCAGATGATGACTGTGAGAAATGTACTAAATTAATTTTTATCCATTCCTATGATGCAAATGCATTTATCCTGTAACGTTGTAGATGTTGAGTTATTAAAAATCTCTTAATGAATTTCTGTAGCTCTTATTGAGTAGGGTGTCATAGTTACAGTAGCACCCTTGACAGAATTCACCTATGTAAGTGTGGTAGTGGGGCCACTACCTATGAGATTTAGGCTAATTCTCAAACACACTCATGAATCTTGGGATCACACAAGGCGGTAATGTGCTGGCTATTAAAGCTTATGTGAACACCTGGAATATTTTGTGTGTGGAATAATTATTTATTTCCCTTAAGCAGTCATAGTTCAATGCTAAGCATACTATTGACTCTAGAGTAGATATTATTGTTTCACTAATGGAAGTTTAATGCAGAACACACCTACCATGATGCATAATATCTTTATTTGCTTAATAATCTCAATTTTTGTTACCTATAATATTAAAATAGATGGGGAAATATTAGTAGATATTTTAATATTATAATGTATTATAGATTATATTGTTTACTTAGGCTCCAAGCAATTTGTTCTCCAAGCTACCTTTCTTTGCCTATAAGAATAGTTTATTTCCCTCCAAGTTTTCTTTTCTTTTCGGGCAAGTAAACCCTTTTTCTTGCCCACCAAGTTTCATCTCCTATAAATTGAGTTAACCTCTTATCTTTAAAAAGAAGAAGAAGAAGTGTTTGTTATTTTATTATTTTTGTGAGATTATCGGGCAAAGAAAAAAGGGTGTATGTGATGAAACTTTGGGTTCAACTAATTGTGCAATATTGGTGAACCATACGACTTAGTCGGGTTGTTGTATTTTGGGGGGACAAGTCAATGATTTTTCAGGCTTTGCCTAACTGCAAAGGGCTTGAATCTCCTTAAAGAGAGCAAATTTTCTGTGTCTCAGCCCTTTCAATAGTTATTGTAATTTTTATTATTTATATTTTTTGGTATTTTATTTGTAATTATCACCAACACATATGATGTTGGAGGGGAGTGCCCGGTTGATGATGTGTTCGCGCAGAGGCTCATGCTCAAGGGGTGTGAGCTGGTCCCTAGGCGGCGGTGCCATCTGAAGACGCCAGCTCGTTATGTTGAGCCGACACCGTTGTTGTCAAAGAGCCTCTGGACAACCCCTCCACACACGAGCATCATTAGGGATTCCTACACTTGTAAAAACTACAAGTGCCTTGTTGATAGAAGAAATGTACCGGGATATTATGATTGCAAGGACTGTTTCGACTTACAGGGGAGAGAAAAAGCCCGGTAGCTCTTCGACAAAGGCCTAGATTATGGGATTGAACAAGTGCTTGGTTTGAAACGTCGTGGCACAATCCGTATTGGGCTTGACATAGGCAATGGGACAGGCACGTTCACGGCTAGGATGAAAGAAAGGAATGTAACCATCATCACAACCTCCGTAAACTTGGATGGTCCATTCAGCAGCTTCATTGCATCGCGCGGTTTGATTTCAATGCATCTGAGTGTTTCTCAGAGGCTTCCATCCTTCGAGAACACGCTTGACATAGTCCATTCGATGCATGTACTGAGGAATTGGATCCCAGACACCATGCTTGAATTCACATTGTATGACATATACAGGGTGTTGAGGCCAGGGGGCCTCTTCTGACCATTTCTTCTGCTTGGGGCGGCAGCTGAACGCAACATATGTTCTGATGTTGAATCGTGTCGGATTCAAGAAGCTCGGGTGGAATGCCAGTATGAAGCTTGATCGCGGGATCGACAAGAATGAGTGGTATTTCTCAGCCCTTTTGGAGAAACCAATGACTTGATAATTCAGATGAAATTTATGTTGCGCTTTGCATGATGAATACTCAACCAGTATGTATGATAACAACAATTCTAGCAGTATCAAAAATTTTGCACACTAATTTACTCCCCCTTCTTCTCACATGTCATGTGAGTCCCACACCCTACGTGAGAGGGAGAGTAAATTATTCTGAAAAATTTTAGGTACCTCTAACATTGTTCTTATGATAATGATGATTGAAGAACTCAGAAATAACACAAATGCAGGACACTTGGACGCTTTATCTTGTTTGGTTTTCCTTCCTTTGATGCAAATAAAAGTGCACAAGTTTTTGAAAATATTAAGGCGAGAGAGAGAGAGAGAGAAGGAAACAATACAATAACTTCACCTTACCATGCTTGCAGACAATCTTCTGGTTCGCTCCATTACAATGATTTGATGCAAACGAAAATGTAAGAACACCTGAGTAAATTGAAAAAACAAAAATAAGTGGCCACTATTAATGCCCAAGAATTCAGAGGGAGTCAAATCATGTTAGAAACCAAATCCATGAGACAAAGCAAATCAATTTTCCTCACAGGAACTAAATAACAAACATACCAAAGAAACTTGCAACGTAGGGGAGAATCTGAGCCTCTGCTGAATCTAGCAGCATTGGCATAGCGAGCTCTTGTTTTAAACTTTACACAAGATTTTCAATGATGCAGAATATCTGGGGCCATTTGCTTGGAACAGAAAGCACTACCTTATTTAAAAATAAAAATCACAAAGATCTTATTAATGCACAATTTGTACACAAGTACCCTGATTTTGTATCATTTTCTTACACACCTCTTGTACCGTAATCACAAGTTAAGAATGTTCCAAAAAGAGAGAGAAAGAGCTAAGAATTTGAATCAATTCATAGTTCGGATCTTTACCACACAGCACAAAAAATATCACAAGGCTGAATGTAAATTAATAACCTCACTGGGGCTCTAACTTCGAAGGAGGAAAGGCCCCGCTATAACTAAAGAGAGTCTCGTCGCCATAAGGATGGTTGTGTTCCCTACTTGCCCCTTCATAATTTGCTGAAGAGGTTGCTGAGTCAGCATTGGGGTTCACACCAGCAATTTGCATAATGGTCTCAATCTCTTTTACCACCTCACCCATTGTAGGCCTTTTAACTCCTTCGTCTTCAACACAACTCAATGCCAGATCCACAAACTTCTCTAAACCTTTCAGCGTCGTGCCCAAAATGGCTCGGTCAAGAATCTCGTGAAGATTATATAGAACTTTTTCCTTATCCATTTGCATCCTCACCTCTCTTACAATGTATTTGCCTTTCTCGATTGGCTGTCTTGCAGTTATCAGCTCTAGCAGTAGCACTCCAAAGCTGTAAACGTCGCTCTTCTCAGTCAACTGCTGGGACATGTAATATTCAGGATCCAAATAGCCCTAAAACCAATAACAAAATCTCAATTTTAGTCAAAAATCCCAAGCAATATCATCGATCTGATGCCTAATTCGTATAAAATGTTTATGGTTAGAATTTCCAATATTGCAGTTTAAAACTATATTTAAAAAATTAAAATAAACAATATGAGAAGTGCGTAAATTATTAAATTCTATAATATTTTTAAAAAACTATAGGTTGTTTAGTTATCTTCTGCTTAAAACACAATAGAGGGGTTTCATTAATAGGTTTTGGTTATGTGCTTACTAGATTGAGCTCTAACCATGACAACTTGATAACTGTTTCACAATAATTTTTCTGACGCCGTGTTTGGTTAGGGGATTTTGGGAGGGATTTGGAAAGAAAAAGGGAAAAGGTGTGTGAAACTAGGTGAAATATAAGTATGTTTTATTCACATTTTACCCACCTTTTCCATTTCCCTTTCCAAATGCCTCCTCAAGTCCCCCACCCAAACACAGCATGACAGTTGATAACTTCTAAAATAGATGAATGTTACACCGACTCAGATGAATGCGTGTAAAGTGTCAAATTTATCTTATTCTCATGTTCATGTCCAAAGACATTAGGACATGACTAGATTTCATATTTTTTTTAAAATACCTATATATTTTTAGGGTAAAAAGGTATTTACAAACTATATAGTTATAAAGTAAAAAGGCATACTTGACAGGTGCATGTTCAACCAAGCATGTTGAATACATCCGACACACTGACTCAAGTGTTGAGAATCCAACACAAGTGCTTCATGTTACAAACTTAGAAGAGTCAACGTAAGCTTTCGCAATCTTTGTCTAACTCCAAATTCATAAATTACTGTTCTCTCAAAAACAGAGTTTAGAGGAAAAAATACTGACCATTGTCCCCTTGACTTGAGTGCTAACATGACCCTTTCCTGCGTCACCCATAGGCTTGGAGAGGCCAAAATCAGCAACTTTAGCATTCAAGCGTTCATCCAGTAAGATGTTGTTTGATTTGATGTCTCTATGTATGATTGGAGGGTCAGCAAGCTCATGGAGATATTGCAAACCCCTTGCTGCTCCAATGGCCATTCGAAGCCTCCTCATCCAATCCAATCTGATTCCTGACTTCCCTGCACATAATATGTATTTGGTTATTATTATTCCATTGGATGCACACTCTCCCCCAAGAACATGAACCATTCAAGTTTATTATATGTTTCCCTTCTCTTTGCCTAGAGAAGATATGTGAACCATTCAAGTTTCTACCGAGGTTTAAGAAAGACGAGTCTAGAGAAGCATTTTTATTTCGATTTTCAAATATAGTGAATCCTGTAGTCTACTCTATCTTAATTTTCTTTATTGTTTCTTCAGATACAATCAACTCATCCAAGTATTCACTCGTAGAAATGATGAACATGAATACTTGAGAACCTAAGCACGAATAGAATCAGTACACATGTTGGTGGAAATGGTTAGGAATGATTGTTAAGTACCTGAAAGACTCTCCATCAGTGTACCATTTGGAACATACTCATACACCAACATTTGTTCTCCTTGGTCGAAACAGAAACCCAGAAGGCTGACAACATTCTTATGATGTACCCTCGATAGAAGCTCAATCTCAGTTTTGAATTCTACACCACCCTGCATCGATCCTTGTTGAGCTCTTTTGATGGCAATCAGTTGCCCAGTGGGAAGAGTTCCTCTATATACCTATATATAAATAAAATGAAAAGTTGAGAATGTGACAGTTATACAGCACTGTGGAAATACTTCTCAAAATATTTTACGAGGGATGAGAAATGTGTTACAGCCTTGCAGGGAAATTTTTTAAATGAAGAAATGATAATAAAACTAGGGACTTGCTAAAATACAAAAAAAAATAAAAAATAAAAAATGAAGAACTAGACACTTTTCACCAATTTGAAAATGCTTTTCCAATGAATTTAAAACTTCTTTCAACTTTTTCACCATTTCCAAAGCATTTTTTACACAAATCCCAACACTAAACAATGCCCTAGGGACACTTGTTAACATTTGCCATAAAACTAATGTAATGAAACATATATTGGAAAAAAAAAAAAAAAAAAAAAAGACATTAATTTATCAATGTCAAACTATCATCTACTTGATTTAACATGGTCAAAAACTCGGTTTGTAACTATAGCAACTGGTAATTTATGACATATCTATGTCATTCCAAAGACAAGAAAAAATTAACAATATTTTTCTCCACCAAATAAGAATATAAAGTTGACCTTCCCATATCCACCAGATCCAATATTGTTGGCTTCTGAAAAATTGTTTGTGTATTTCTTAAGCTCTTCAAATGAGAAAAACCTAGCTCCTTTTAACTGAGGAACACCACCACTGCTGTTACTTGGGCCCCAAGAAGCTGCATCGATGTGACATTAAAGCAGTAAATTAAACCCAAGAGTAAGATATAATTGAAGGAAATAAATTGTTAAGATTAACTCCTAATTTTACCAAAAGGATTGTTCACTTTATCAGCTCTTTCCGCTTTTCTCTTTTGACGAAAAGCATAAATTCCAACAAGGAGAGACAATATCACAAGGACAGAACCACCAACTGCCGCTCCGATAATTATGCCAGTATTTGTTGACCTCTTAGTTCCTGCAGAATCTTTTGAGAGAGAGAGAGAGAGGAATGAGATACAACAGAATCCCTAACATATTTCTCACATTTATGTAAATACTTCATACCTGCAAAAGAACTATACGGGTCACCAATGAAGAAAAAGGGTCCAAACATTTTGGGAGGCTTGAAAGTTTGATTGCTCAAGACAAATGCAATCCCATAGACCCCTGTTCGATTGAAATGATCTTGGCCAGATGAAAAAACTTCCAGGCTTAGCACAAAGTAATCATCTGAATTTTTAGATGGATTACTCAGAGAAACTGAATCCACAGGCAGTTGATGGGACTGAAAAGAATTCATCAGAGAATTCTGGAGAATGATGTAAATACTTCCGTTTCCGAGGCTAGAGAATGAAGGAGCCCTGAAGAATAGGGTGCCCGTGTATGGATATTCACATCTACAGTTGGGGCTGGAAATTTCGTCTGACCTACAGGTTGTTGTTTGGATACAATTTTTTGGTGTTGAATATGAGGAATTAGATTGTTGAATGACACAATATGTTTCCGTCCCCCCCGTTCCCCCGCAAACTGGATTCCCTACAAGTCTGCAGAAAAATAAATATAAATGTATTCCAATGAGTTTATAAAAATGATAAAGCAAACATCAGTAAATAAATTACATGTCCAGGATTATAACTTTCAAAAAAGAATCTAAGAGGTGTTTGGAATGCAGCTAAAAAAGCTGCTTTTTTGCTAAATAAACCAAAAAGTCAAAAAGCCTGTTTGTCATCAACTAAAAAAGCCAAAAAGCAACTCAAGTTTTCCACACAAAAAAAAACTTTTTTAGCAACTTCACAACCACATTACATTTTTTTAGCTTCTAAAAAAGCCAAAAAACTAACAAAAAGCCAATACCAGACAACCTCTACACGTTAACTCTTTAACATCATCTTACATAGAAAACGGCTGAAAAATCATATAATATAGCTTACTGCTCACATTAAATCAATACTGAATCCTGCTCTCTGTGTAAAGCCAACTATGGAATTGTTCTGCAGATCTATAAGTTGCAGTTCGTTGCTATAGCTGGAGCCAACATCCAAAGTGCCATTAAGCTGATTGTTGCTCAATACACTGCCACCACATACCAAAGCAAATTGTTTTTTATTATAATATTCATGATACAAGTTATGTAAGCAGAGTCAATTATGTAAGAGCCTAAGGAGGTTACATCTTACCTTGGATTCTAGAGCATTACATAAAATGCAGAACTATATGATATTAAACTCATACTTACACAGTCTGTAACTGAGGAAGGCTGAAGAGAGCAACTGGAATTAGACCTTGAAGTCTTGTGTTTTCCATCACTCTACAAGTAAGAAGTTAGAGTAAATGTGTATAGTCAATCTCAATACTTCGAAACTTTTACTTATAGTTCAACAGCAATAAATAGTTTGGTTGGGTCCAAAAAACGAATTCTTATGATGCCACTGCATCAAAACTGGAACTTTCTTATGGAAAAAAGAGAATTCTCGCCTAGCCCATAAAGCTTCCATGGTAACTTGAGTTAATTGTTCATTCTATCCTCACAGACCTAGCAAGCTCAACTTTTGCATTCGAATAAACAAACATTTTCAACTTTCTTGCCCTCAATTGCACTGTTGTTGGTCAGCTCTCATTTTTGTGCTTAAGAAGTTCCCTTAGAAGATTGTAGGTGTTGAAAATGATGTTAATGGGTTTCTGTACTAGAAATTGAAATTCTTTTTTGCTTTGGGGAAATCAGAAATCACCAAAGACAAAGAAGGAAACTTAGGGTTGAAACATGCAAAATTAGTCAAATATGTCTAAACTATATACTAATGCCAAGGCAAAATCCAATGATGCATTTTCAACTTACCAAATTTATCTGCTTGTGGATCTAAATTCAAAACCACAACAACAAGAATAAAGGATTGGCAAAGCATAACATGGGTTATGTTTACCATAGTTGGGAGTGCATTGATGAAATAACAAAGGATGGGTATACAATATCAAAAGTTGAAATAAGAGGTGGGAAATTAAGAAGATGTTATGCAACTTGGAGTAACAAGTGGAAAGGCTCCTCATGTTCTGCGTTCAGCACAGGTGAAAGGACAAGTTCTGTAACATCGCAAGGCTAGCCATGTATTATGATATCTAATGATAAGCTATTAGAAGAACATTTCTGTACTTTGATGAGCTGAAATAGATATGCTTCGATGAATGACTGGCAGGTTTTAAAAGATAGGTTTTGAAACAAATTAAAACCCCAAATTGAGAACAATATGTGCGATGGCTCAGTTATCCGCAACAAAGATCAAGAAAATACCATAAAGGGATCAAATATTTCAGAATGAAAAAAAAAACAAGCAAAGTCAAGGAGAAGGCCAAAAAAAAGAGATACTGGTTGTTAGAAGAGGTATGAACATTATGATACCAAACAAAAAACAAAAAAGCAAGGCCCCAGATTGAACTAAATGGTGGAAATGGGCTCTTGTAGCACACCTTAAACAATTTGGAGAATTCTTGTTGACTTAATTACTGTGTTTGTGTGTGAGTGCAAGTATCCCCATGAATTGAGAGAGAGAGAGAGAGAGAGAGAGAGAGAAACACACACAATGTTGTCAAAGACTGTAAGGCTGAAAGCCATGGAGGAAAATTTGATACATCGAAAGTATTATTGCTCCAATCCCTGCAAGCAACATTTTGATCAAAGAATGAAATTGGAAAGTATCACATATTGTATAAAATTATAAAAACCAAGTTGATAGCAAGAAAAATGCAATTGCTTTGGAAGGAAAAACAAAGAATTAACACACCATGATAAGTAATTCACCGGAGTCAGCAAGATGGTTGTTACTTACATGTAGTTGAGAAAATTCATGCCTGTAAGATTGGGCAAGGGACCAGTCAGTTGATTGTTAGACAAGTACCTGGAAGTGAAAAATTAAAAGCCTCTCATCATAAAGCTAATTTCATGGAAACAAGCTTAAATTGACTAAGTGTTTTTTTTTCTTCTTTGGTCTGCTTACAGGTCACTGATATGCGTAAGATTGGTGATATTTGGTGGGACAGGTCCACTTAATGAGTTCCTATCAAGGCGTCTGTAGCCAACACAAAATACTCAATTCAAAAACTTCAATGAAAATTCACAGCTAACAAGTAGTCGTAACGATTTTTTAAGTTGAAAATGTGATAGAGATACTCACAGCACCTCCAAGGTCTGGACTAGTCCAAGTGTCGAAGGGATGCTTCCACTTAGCTGGTTGCTATCAAAAAGCCTGCTCATATAAATTCACATGAAGATGTCGAAACTAATATCCAGCCTAAGAGTATCTGTATGGGACTGGGACATCTAGAAAGTAGGACCAACATTGTGTTACCAGAAAATGTTAATGCCCTAGCAAATTACATATTGATACGCACGTTTCAAAACATGGTACACCTACGTTCCAAAACGGTAAATTTTGTGATCCGAACTGAACTCAAAAGTTCTTTCCAATATATTTCCTTAAATGTTACCTTAGGAGAAAAAAAAATCAAATATAATAAACTAAAATCTAAAGTGAGTTGAGTTTTGACAAGACAAAAATATCAAAATGGTTCATAATAATCATAGAAATGTTTTGCTACATAAAGAAAATTACTCTAGAAGTACCTTAAATTCTCAAGTATAATATATACAAGTCTACCCCTATCGTATCACAATTTATAGCATGTGGCATATCACGTTCCCATTCCCGTTCCATGTACCAGAACGATCCACGTTCCAGGTAACATAAGACCAACATTTCTTATTATATATATATATATATAAAGATCCTGCAAGATGAGAACATATATGCACCTCTCTCTATATATATATATTTTGGAACCGGAAAAAAAAAAAAAAATCAGACTAACATTTCAAGCTCAGCATGCTGAAGGCACATCAAGCAGCAATTGTCGGAGGTCTACGACATATCAAGAGATACATTTCAACAAAACAAGGTCTCAACAGTTCCAAGGAAGGATTGAGAGGGAAAAATCATATACACAAACACATCCATATATATAGAGGCCCCGTTTGATATCACTTATAAGTTTGCTTTTATGATTATAGCTTTTTAGATTATGAACTTAAAAAGAATTAAAATAAGTTGTAAATCTGTTTGGTGCAGTTTTTAATACTTTGTGAAAAAAGTTGAATTTGTTTGGTTAAATAAGACGTCACATAGCTTTTTTGTTGTGCAAATATCCAGAATGCCCTCAAAAGTTGTAATGAAGACAAAATAGATGGGCTCTTTAGTTCATACGTAATTATAGTTTCAAATAAGCTAAAGCTCACTTTTTTTGCCCAAATAAGCTGAAAAAGTCAAATAAGTTATAATTTACTATTGCAAACAAACACCTTTAGTCACTATTTTTTAAGCAAATAAGTTAACTAAGTTGACTTGTAAGTGCTACCAAATGAGCCTATATTATTCTTTTGACATAAGTTGTTCCTCTTTTCCCCTATGAAAGGTTGCTGCTTTCTCTTGTTTGTGTACATGCATGACCATGTCGAACATTTAATCTAGTCTTATCATATAAATACATACTACTGACTATTAAAATAAATAGGTAGTTTTGGTACTTACACATGTATCAGAGTCATCTTTGAATTGAAGAGTTGAGATGGAATTTTACCAAAGAGCTGATTCTTTCCAAAATGACTGTACATAATAGGAAGAACCTAAGGTCCTTAGTGCATGAAAATAAACATCAAATAGAGAGGACTGGTTACACACACAGAGAGATTAGACATACAAGTGTTTCGTATTAACCAGCATATCCAGACCAGGTGTGGTCCCACTAGAGACAGGGATAGTTCCAGAAAGCTTATTGTCAGCCAGATCCAGCCAATAAAGATTTGATAGATTACCAATTGAAGGCGGTATTGGTCCAATGAAGCTGTTAGAATTAAGAGACCTGCAGAAAAAAGAATTGAAAGCATTGAAAAGGGCACCCAAGATATGGAACTAGCAACTGCATAATACATAGTAAGTAAAGCATGTGTGCAATTCAGCTGAAATTTTCTGTAATGGAAATGTGTAAAAGCTTTGATGATTCAAAGAATGAAGCATCTGGTTGAAATATAAAGGGTCAAACAGGATCTCGAAATCAAATTTTATCTTTTTAGAAGCATGAAGCAGACATGTTTCTGGAAATAGATTCACCGCAGGAGGTCAAGAGTGTGGGAGATCAATTGTTCTTGAAAGGGAAAACAAATAGGAATTTAAAGGAAGCCTAAATAATACATAGGCATTGAAAGGAATTTAACATTTTGTAGTCACTGAAAAACTTATGATCAAATTACTCAGAGAACAGCAATTATTATGTCAAAAGTATGTGGAAGGTTGTAGTTGATGTTCTCTCTATTTTTCTGGTCATGACAATAACTTCAGAGGATGAGGCAATTTTGATAACTTGAACTTGTAAAGAGTTAGTTTAAGGTTGTGTCATTCCATCATTCCTTCACATCAGAGTCATGTCACAAGGGAATATGAGGAGCACACAGCTATGAGGGAATATGACTCCATTATGAAAGCCGCTAATACATTGAAACCATGCTGTAACAGTGCTTACTCACACTTTCATAGAAGTCTTTCACGTTCTAATCAGAACAAAAATAAAAATCCTTACAGTATGCGCAGCTGCTGCAGAGATCCTATTGTGTCTGGAATGAGACCACTGAAACTGCAACCAACCAGGATTCTGAAATGCAAGTAGAAGCAATTGGTTTGTAAAGGTCATATGTAACTTACAAATGCCTATGTTACTTATAAGCCAATACCCTACAACAACAATTTCTCCAAATTTTCTTACAGGTTTGTTAACTTTTTCAAATTTCCAATTGCTGTAGGAAGAGGTCCTGTCAAACCCTTGTTGTATGAGAGATCCCTATATGCAAAAGCTGATAATCAGACATTACTTTTAACAACTCTTTTGAAGTAGTAACAGACAAAAGCCAGAGAAGCACAGTTGCCAACTTGCTAGAGTGAACAATGGTAACTGAATGATGCTTCATAAAGTTAGTTGGACCTTGATCTACTTATGAGAGAAGAGGGATGGAAAAAGTAAAAGACTTACAGAATCTGCAATTCTGACAACTGCTGAATGTCTCCGGTCAACTGACCAGTCACACCCATGCTCGCTAATTGACTGGAATTAAAACTGACAGTTAATCTCTAGAAAAGCAAAATGAGCAACTTTCCATAAGCAGTAAAAGGATAACACAATGGGGACTTACATAGATGTGACATAGGAATTGGTGCATTGAATTCCATCCCAGCTGCCACATGGATCTAACCCATCCCAACTGGGTGGTGTGTTCGTCCAGGCATTTTTGAGAGCCTTTAGAGCAACAGCTGCGCAATAATAAGAATAATAAGTTTCTACTATTTGACACCACAACTCAAATCTCAAACATAAACTCTCCATTCCATTCTTAATTTGGGTTTGGGGGGCTTGACAACGAAGGATCAAAACTAAGAAGCATGACACCTCTAACAAGGTGTCATGTTTGCATTGGCCATGCGTCGGATATTGATACTCAACGGACACATCCCTGCACGTGTCTTATTGTTTTTTTTATTTATTTTTAATTTTAGAACTGGACACACCTTGGAGAACACTCGTGTCCATCACTTAGACGGGTATGAAATACATTGTGAGTTTAAGAAAATAACTCAAGATCCAAATTAATCCCCCTCCTTGAGATTTTTAATTTTACGAATTTTAAAACCCCAAAATTCTAATTTGTTTATGAATAGAATTTTCTAAAATAAGTACTAGAACTTTTTGTTCACACTGTTTTGAAATATGTAGAAGGTGAAAAATAGCTTCTTACTATTTTGACATAATAAAATCTAAATGTAATGTAATGTAAAATTGAAGAAATAGTTATTATTTCATGTATACCAAACCAAAATAAGCATGGTGTCCCAATCAAGCAAGGTTGGGTACATGAATATTTTGTTCCCCATCTGCTCTATCAAGGGCTATATGCTCAATAAAATTAAAAAAATTCAAATCTTTTTTTTAACTACCACATCCCATGTCAGTTTAAGTCTTCACCTCCCCCTAACATTTCCAACTATTATTTCATGTACACATAAAAATTTATATTTATTTATTGTCGTGTCCCTACAATTTAGTGATCTGTATTTTGAAAATTGTCATGTCAGAGTGTTGTACCATATTTTGTGTCCTTGTATGTGATTCTTAGGAGGAACTAGCTTTAGCCCAAATTGCTTCCGAGTATTTAAGAAAACCAATGGATGGGACATGACAGCAGCCAGTAAGACAATAACAAAAGGAATAACCTCCCTAGAGGTCACCCTCTTCTTAGATTTCATTTGATTAACAAACCTAGTATTTTTTGGTTCAAAGTACTGCTTTAGATTTAGTACTCAGTAACTCATACTTCCATTTCTGAATAATCAAGGCCATTTGCTATTCCAGATAGAGAACTCAAGAAATCAAACCTACAAAACTGTATGCGCTTTTGAATAACCCCAAAACTGTATGAAGGCTTAGAAATTGCTCCTAAACCAGATAAACATGGTAGCATATCTAAGATTTCCAGCTTTTGAATGAAATTAAAGCATAGTAGGTGTGCATCAGTATATAGGTTTGTTCTGCAACCTTAGTTATAGAAATTATTCCCAGGAAAGTTATGTTTTCCGGAAAATGAAAATACAATAAAAACAAACTGAAATACTTAGGAATAGCTACTAATTCAAACTCCTAATCACAAATCTTTCATCATTTTGGAAACAAGAAAATACAATATCCACAAGTGGAGATCAATCTCACAATCGGAAAACAACATAAGATTCTTATGTTCATTTCCATTTCTTGTCCTTTTATGAGCAACCAAACAGAGCAAACGAAAGGTGTGAAGATAAAGCAACCAAAAGTGGTCTAGAGTATGCCATCTTGATATTAATGAACAAGTTATTTATACATTTATGGATGATGCATTAACTAATACGGAGGGGATGCATTCTTGTTTGTATTTATCAAGACATGGAAAATCTAAAAACAGCTATCAGAGCTCTCTTACACACAATTCATCAAACACTTAAAAAATATCGAGAACAGAATTGAACTTACAGTCCTGAGGATTTGTCTGATCCGCTGCTGCAATGAAAATTTGGATGGAAATAACCAGCAGGTAGACAAGAATTCTTGAACCCATTATTCAAGAGAGAATTGTATATATTCTTGAACTAACTGAATTACAATGAACCAGCCAATTCTTTCATACAGTCTTCTTGTTCACAACTAGAATTTTTCAGAAGCAAGTTTTTTTATGATATACCCATACACTCATTGACTTCATCCATAGACATAGGTGCAACACAATGATATGACTGGCTGCCAGCTCATCCTCAATATTGTCAATAGCCCGAAACACAATCAAAGGCTATACATATGGAAAATGCTATGGGCCCAAATTTTCTACCAAATGAATGATCAAATGTCTCATACATTTGATCATTCATTTGGTAGAAAATTTAATATCCTAGCATTATCTTATACATATATACAGACATGATTTATATATTCTGATTAATTATAAACACCACCACTAGCACACAATCATCTAATTTCTATCATATAAAAAGATACATAAATAATAAAAATATATATAAATAAATAAAAACCCAGATGGACGGGTTTTCACAAGTTAATTATTGCAGGCACAAAAGTCAAGTCAACAATATGAACAAATTTTTTTAATAAAATATAAAGATTTATTAGTAATACGAAAACCCACTAGTCTTTTTAGGGTTTTGATATTTGGGTAAGAAAGATCCAAGGGATAGTCTGCGAATCACCATGGACAAGTTAATTTTTTGAACAGATTAGTCACTGTATCCCTTTTTCTGATAAGTTATTTACAAGGAATTTTTTATTCTTTTTGGGTCATTTATATGAAAATGAATCATTCAAAACAAGTTACCAATTGAACATTACAATAATCACAAAATGCTAAAGACTTGTTTGATTGGAGGGTTGTGTATAGGTAATGTGAGTGCGAGTAGGTAGGTGAAGTGAACATGAGGTAGATCCATACCTTAACTGAGAAGAGCTTAAGAACATTTCAGATGGTTTCTCCATTTGTCCTCTATTGCTCGGTCTCTGTCTCCAACAAGTTTTGTCTTCACTGTTTCATAGCTTTTCCCCATAGCCAATGCAAGCGCCAACGAGAAGACGATACACCCCAGAGATTTGAGGGGGAATTACACTGACACAATGGCTCTGTTTGGCAAGTTGCATTTTTTTTTTTTTAAGTTAATAAAAATAAAAATAAATTAAAATAGCTAATAACACTCGTTGAATCAACTAAAAAAAAATTAATTATCTTTTTAAGTACAACTATAAGATAATCAAAAAATTAATTAAAATAACTAACTTCTCAAACAAGGCCAATATCAATAGCAAAATATTTTAAAAAATAAATAAATAAATAACATTATAAATATTAATAATGAAAATTATAAAAAAAAATTATTTTAAAATTATAATAATTATAATTATAATTTTATTTATCTATTTGTAAATAATTCTTTTTTCATTTATTATAAATATTATAAAGTACAGATTCCCCCTTCATGCTAGGGAAATTATTTCATTTTCATAATTGAACAAAAAAATTAAAATTAAAATTAGTTTCACAAAGACAATAAAAAATAAAAAATAAATGCCTAGCCATTTTAATCATTTTACTTTTTTAAATGATAAAAATAATATTTAATCATTTGAAAATATTTTTTTAATATTTATTTTTGTCGAATTAGTTTCCAATTTTTCAACAAAAAAAAATGTGAAATTTTTTTCAGAGATTAAAACTAAACATGGCCAACCTCTAAGGTCATATTTGTTTAGACGGACTAGATTATTTGAAAAAAAACTATTTCAATAATTATTTGACTTTTTATAAAAAGTTATGTAGAAAAATAAAGAGAATAATATGACAACTTGTAATGGCTTTTTAGGTTTTTGGCTAAAATGTTTAATATCCAAACGAGGCATTGTCTTGGAATATACAATCCTGGACTATTTGACTAGAAATAATGTGTATCCTATGTTTATTTTTTCATAGAATTAATTGTTGTAAATGACTATTATAGTGAATCTTACATTTGATTTAAAAATTTATGAAGCATATTGTTTAAATTATTTACCACGGCAATACTAAATTTGAAGTGTATTTTATTTTATTTTACAAAGACCACTTTTAATTTTATTTAAATAAAAAATAAAAATAAGACTATTATATATCATGAGATTAATTTACATCTGTTTAAAAAATATTTAAAAAATGAAAATAATAAATTTTATTTATACTTGAGGATTAATCTCGTCATTTAACTAGCTAATCTAGAAGTTAGCTCAGTCCGCTCATTTATGTTCCACACCTCCGATGGAATTGACTTATCCCATATATGGGGGATTATTAGTCCGATCGGACTATTAATCTAGCCTTTACTTTTCTAACGAAACATGAACTATCCACTTTGTTGGACATGGAGTTTGGCCTTCACTTTTCTATGCCCTAAGCCCACCAAACAAACACTCCCTTAATGTTTTCAATCAAACCTCGCTATTAATCAATCTGTTAAGTCATACTAATAGAGTGTATAATATAAGTAATATTTTTTTTTTAAATATGTATATTAATTTTTATAAAGTTAAACATTTTATTTTCTTCTTTTTTTATCAATTTCACTTTTCTTATTCCACATTTTTACTCAACTAGTAACACCATTTGGGAAAATCATCGCACCAATCACCACCACCGTTATTATTGTTTTATAAGTATTTGGTGTGTCGTTAATGAGGGTTAGAGAATATTGTGTGCAATCATTTGTGTTGTGTTTTGTTAAGAGAATTTAGGAAGAGATTTGGAAAGGGAAAAAAAAAAATATAAGTAAAATGTGAATAAAATATACTTATATTTCACCTAATTTTACATAATTTTTTTTTTATTTTTTGTTTCCAATTCCTCCCCAAATCCCCCAACCAAACATAGGCTTGGTGTGTCGTCGGGGAGGATTGAAGAAAATTGTGATGGTGTAGAGATCGTAATTTGGTGGTGTGTGGATGAAAAATGAGAATAGTATGACGATTTAATTTTGATATTAGAAGATATTTAGACAATTTTTTTTTTCCCTGTTATGTTAGTTGTAAGAAAAAAATCTGACATTGAGGTAATTTTAATTTTCAAAATGTGAGAAAAAAATCTCTATTTTTTATAAGCGAGTCTGTGTTGTTTGGGCTCATAAGGCTCATCATGGATTCTATTTCGATAATTCGAACCGTTAATATGTAGAGCTTGTCAAAGATTTTATTCCTACAAAAAATAACGTTAATTGGATATCAATAGCTACTTGATTGGATCAGATTTCTGTTAACAATTTATTTTGAAAATTATATTGACGGTTAACAGAAATATAATTTGATCAAGTGGCTATCGATATCCGATCAATATGATTTTTTGCAAGGATAAAGTACTCGACAAGTTCTTATGATTATCGAAACAGGATCTGTGATGAGCCCAACGAGTCCAACAGCACGCTCCAATCTGATCTTAGACTGGAAAAAAGCCTGATCCTTTTTATAAATTTCAAAGAGGATATGTGTAATTTACCCTATAGTTGGAAAATCCTTTAGACATAGAAGAATATCAAGAGTTTTGCCAATGATGTAACCGTGTGATAGGGATTAAATTTGTATAGTGTGGATTCATGTAGCATATGGGCCATAGATTGATAGTTTTAGATAATTTTTTTTTGGATGTGTAGTATTATTGTGTGTCCATTTGGTAATTTGACTTCTTAGTGATTTCTTGTGGGCAAAGCAGTAATGTATTAATGTGTATGATGTGATTTTTGATAATAGAATTGAATTTGTTGACTTTTGGGATGAATGTTGTGATTGATTAAAAAGTTTAGGGTCTTTTTTAGATGTGCCTTGCATATGGCATGTAAGGCACTTATACCATTTTTACTTTGCCTTTACACATTTTTATGTATTGAGTTATATTAAAATATTTGAAAATTTACACATTGGTGACCTGCTAAGCAGGTCAGTTTCCAGGTAAATTAATAAAATGATATATTATATGATTAAAGGTGTAAATTGTCACAAAAAGGTGTAAGTAATTCACAAGAAGCGTAAATTTTCACAAAAGGCATAAACTTCCACAAAAGGCGTAAGTAATTTAAAAAAAAAGCGTAAGTGATATTTTGAAAATTTACACATTTGTAAACTTACACTTTTTTGTGAAATTACTTACACATTTTCTCAGAACTTACGCCTTTTGTGAAATTACTTACACCTTTTATGAACACTTACTCTTTTTGTGATTACTTACCAAATGTGTAACTTTTGACAACTTACACATAATACTTACATCTTTCGTGAAAAAACTTACACCATTTTTGAAAAGTTACACCTTTTGTGAAATAAATTTTTTCATAAAATTTACACCTTTTACTAAAACTTACACATTTTCTGAAAATTTACACATTTTTGTGGAAATACTTACACATTTTCTGAAAAGTTACTCATTTTGTGAAATATTTTTTGTCAAAAAATTTACACATTTTATTGGAACTTACACCTTTTGTGAAAACGAAACTTACAACTTTTGTGAAGTTACTTACATCTTTTGTGAAAAAACTTACACTATTTTTGAAAAGTTACACCTTTTGTGAAATAATTTTTTTCATAAACTTTACACCTTTTGTTAAAACTTACACATTTTTGTAGAAATACTTACACCTTTTCTGAAAAGTTACTCCTTTTGCGAAATAATTTTTTCATAAAATTTACACCTTTTATTGAAAGTTACACATTTTGTGAAAACGAAACTTACACCTTTTGTGAAGCTACTTACATGTTTTGTGAAATAACTTACACTATTTCTAAAAAGTTACACCTTTTGTGAAATAATTTATTTCATAAAATTTACATAATTTGCTAAAACTTACACATTTTTCAGAAAATTTACACCCCTTCATGGAAATACTTACACATTTTCTGAGAAGTTACTCATTTTGCGAAATAATTTTTTTTCATAAAATTTACACTTTTTGTTAAAACTTACACCTTTTGTCACGACCCGCTCCCTGTACCCAAGGGTTAAACATCGTAATGGCCAGTAATTGAAGTTACCTACGGCCAATTATTGAACAAATAAATAAACGCGAGTGGAAGTAAAATTTAAATGAGGGTACTAAAATAATCATTGGAGTTTCTATTTTTATTACAAAATTATATTAACCAAAAAGGCCTATTTTTACATAAAAAATATCATAAAAGTGTTGTGTGTGTCTATTCCGCAGTCCCGCATCTAAGACTTTTCAAAAGCTATTTTTGAATTGCACTGTTTCCTGAAAATTGGTAAACAACTATAAGCACATGGACAGAGTGAGAAATATTATACCAAGAGTATAAGAGACACGAAATAACCATGGATAGTTAGTTAGGCCAAAATATTTAAGATAACTTAGTCGGAACAAATAATCCGTTAAGTAGCAAAATTGAGATTATGTAAATAAATAACCATAACCACGGTACAGAACAGAACAGAGGTCACAGAAGTAACAATCAAAACAGAGGTACGGACTCAAGAGGTGGCTCGTACGGACTATAGAGGTGGCTCCTACAATAGTGTAACACTAATACTTATCTTCGCACAACACTTTGCTCCGCACAGAAAAGAGGTACGTATTAAAGAGGTGGCTCGTACGGACTATAAAGGTGGCTCCCACAATAGTGTAGCAGTTATCTCCGCACAGCACTTTGCTCTGCACAGAACAGAGGTCAATGGATCAGAGGACCACAAAGTGGTAAAACAGAGGCCAATGGTTATTTAAGTCTCCCAAGGCATGAGACTTCCATGGTGGTACTTACAAAACATAATTATATATAAGGTCATAATCAAATATTATTTAAAAGTAAAACGAACATATCCATAGATTTCACTTTAGCAAATAGGGTTTAAAAAATAATTCACGTAACCGAAATTTTTATAAAATATAATTTTTATTAATAT